ACTTTATACACACTGTGTGGTACTTTATACACACTGTGTGGTACTTTATACACACTGTGTGGTACTTCAGTTCCAACAGAAAGTATAAAAAGGTAAAGTTACCTGTCCTCCTGCAGCACAGGCTGCCACCAGTCCATACTGACCCCCCTCCTTCTTCAGCCGATGAGCTGCGGTGGTCACCAACCTGCAGCCTGTGGCACCAAACGGGTGTCCCAAGGACAGAGACCCCCCCCACAGGTTGAGCTTCTCCAGGGGAGGAGTCCCAACCTGAGCACAGAGCATGGAGTCAGTCAGTGGTTAATGTCAGAGTCAAAGCTTCGTTGTCCCTGCAGGTGTCACTGCTCAGTCCTGACKTTTGTTTGAGACCTCCAGCAGATGTAAGCCACATGTTCAGATGATTACATCACCTTCAGCTCAATGTTCAGAGACGTAAACAGAGGCTACATGTTAGCATGTAGGTTCAAGGGCTGAAAAACAAATCACTWTAACTGTTTCATATCCATCAAGAACGATAACTGATTAGTTTTAGACAATTATCTGAAATCCTGTCAAACTGGTGACTTTTCCTCTTTTATCCATCTCCTCCTTTCACCCCGCGCTCCTCTTCGTTATTTTTAAGACCTTATGAGACGAAACATGAAACTGCTGCTCGTTTCTCTGGGTTTTGCAGCTGTTGCAGGGTWGCACCCTCTTCAGTCATTAGACGTGTCCTTTCAGTGTAAAAGCCTCCTGAATGAATTCTTAATGTCACATTAACCCTACCATGGTGGGGTGGTTCAACAAGCTAGTGCTCTATCACTTGAATGTGCCGACAAGAAGGACAAAGACATCTTGATTTACACTTTTCAAAATAAAGCGCAAGACATTACTTTTTTAAGCGGGCATTTGTTGTGCAACAGCTTGAAGCTTTTATTTTGAAGGTGAACCTTAGGTTTCCTGTTGTTTAGCTGAAAGGTCCTGGCCTGTTTTATCAGTCATCAACTGTTGGTTGATAACAGAGAAATGGTTGAAGATTGGATGTTTACTCAGGTTACTTCTAACTAACAACTAATGAGGTCAACGTGTGATGAAACGCACCAGGAGTGGTCAGACTGAGGTCAGTCTGAGCACAGATACAGATCTGATTCAGAACCACGTTCTGAGAAAGACTGGGTCAGATTTAAACACTGTTCATGTTCAGACGGTCAGGAAATAATCTKATTTGGGTCATGTTTGTCTGCAGATCATAGAGACGTCATCAGACTTCCTGAAGTAAAACTCAGGTCAGAACCTTTCAGACTCAAATGGTTTTAGACATTTTGCTACATTTAATGACTTCCTATAAAATATATACAATATATTTAAACTAACTACTGTGTATGCTATTATTAGATGAAACAGTTGCTCTTTTTCAGTMATTTTATTTAAACTGAAGTAGAATAAAAAGGCATAAATGTTTCTTGTTAATAAGTTATAATTTGTAAAAGCTTTAAAAGCAGCCGTGTGCTGCTTGGATCTGTTGTTTCACCAAGTAAACAGCAGCAGGTTTTTACCTTCGATTTCCTGCCCATGTACGTCTGAGCGAACCAGTCTGAGTCCATCGCCTTCAGATTCGCCAATATCTGACTCTGAAAACACAAATACACACAGTTACTACAGAGACCAAAGTCAACTTTGATTTCTCCTGATCCAAACAAAGAATAAGAAAAGAACAACATCAACATCTGGATGTAACATTATGACAGGCACTGAGAGGTCAAACTAATACTGGAGGTAAAAATAAATTGATTTATTGATTTCTAACTCTACAAATCATGTATGAGAACTTACTGCAAACGCCTCGTGATACTCAAACACATCGATGTCAGACAAAGACAGGCCGGCCCGTTCCAGGACTTTAGGTGTAGCGTACGTTGGTCTGCAGTAGTCAATCAGGACAAGTTTGACAACAAAAACTAGTTTTCTTTAAATATTACAACAATCACAAGACAACCTTCTGACCTTTTAAACAACCAGAGGACTTCTGTTTGTTCCAACAAGAGTGTGTTAAAACACACACAAACACACACACTGCAACACGAGTGTGTAGAAACAACTCACCCTAACAGCAGCTGGTCTTTGGGGTCCTGGGACACGTAGACGAAGTCTCTGTCAGACAGAAACCGAACAGCTGAGCACAAACATCTGAACCATGGAAGAACAAAGGTCTTCATAAAGCAACAGTTCAGGTACCTGAGGTACGCTTTAGGTTTAAAACCCATGGACAAAGCTTTGTCTTCAGACATGATGAGCACGGCCGAGGCACCGTCCGTCTGAGGAAACAAACATTCACAGTGGACAAGAACATCATACAGTTGGTTTTAAACGTTTTTACACAAGAAACCAGTAATTACCAGAGATACATAAACTACTTAATGTGTTACTTTACWTTACATTTACTAAAGTAAAGGTAACACATTTAGTACTTTGTGTATTCTGAAGTAGTTCTGTATCAGGTCAGTATAAGGTACTACTACTGAGATATGTTGTGTTGATTGTTGAGTAATAATTAATGGAGGATCAGCTGCTCGTAAACATTTACACACATGTAAGTTAAAATCAGAGCAGAGGGGGAGGAGTCACAGATGCAAATACACTCAAATACGTCTTTTTAAGGTTTTTAGTTTCTAAATAATCGGACTCGTACCACGGCTGTCAGTGGCAGCCTTGTGGAAACATCATGCTGCCGTATTTTTAAATACCATGTTGTAACACTGAGGTGTAGCAGGACACCAGCCAAACCAGATGACTAAATTATTGTTTGACTTTAAGGTTTTGTCCAGAGTTTACATTTGATCCTGCTGAGCCTGGTGTTTGTTGTTACCAGGAAGGAGGAGTTGGCAGCAGTCACGGTGCCGTGGGGTTTAATGAAGGCAGGTTTCAGTTTGGCCATTTGCTCCATGGAGGAGGGGCGGATCCCGTTATCCTTTGACACAATGTCCCGATCTGGAACAAACAACAGAAACCAGTAGGTTTGCTTCTTATAGAAACAAGGATTATAAAGATGGAAAACTCTTCTAGTTATGGGTTACTCTGGAAGAACAGAAAATTTAAAATGATATATTTAATGTACCATCATATGAGGATAAAAAAATAAAGACTTTTAAATTTCATTACATTATCAGCTAATAAAAGTCTCAGTAAACGGTTTAAATATAATTATGGTGTACAATTTACCAACTCAGGTAAAAACAACAAGATAAACAAGTATTATTCCCTGTAAATAAAACCTAAAACAGTTGTTAWCTTTGTGTAGGATTCACTGTAAGATCAGCTGAAGGGGGCAGCAGATTTTACCTGGCACTTTAAAAGAAATGACATCCTCCAGCAGCCCCTCATCCTGAGCCTTTTTGGCGAGCGAGTGCGATCGAAGAGCAAACTGGTCCTGCTCCAGTCTGGAAACAGAAAACGCAGCAGCCAGACGATCTGCGCTGTGGCCCATGGTTTCAGCTGTGGAGAACTCAGCCACGGCAGGAAGCTGCCGACACACAACCACACACGTTCAGGAGGAAACTCCACCTGATTGGTTCAGAACAGAAGGTGGAKGCTTACCTCTGGAGAGAAATGTGACGGCGTGATGGTGCCGATTAGGCTCAGCTTTTGGTCCAGGGTTTTGGCCTTGTTCAGGGACAGCATGGTCTTCCTCATTTTCCTGCTGTGACGAATGGGAACATCAGACATGAACTCCACCCCACCTGCAACGATGGCATCACACTGGCCTGCAGCGATCAACCCAACACCTGCAGACAAGTGGAGGAGCAGGAGGTGAATACGTGTCAAACATCAGAGTGGAGGCGTCTCAACAGACGTACCTGAGGTCATGGCCTGATTGGAGGAGATGCAGGCCATGGTGACGGTGTGAGCAGGAATCTTGTTAGAGAAGCCTGCCCCCAGCGCTGCCTGAGAAAAATACAAATTAAAATAAATCAGACACGCACAGAGGTCCTCGTTTTAAGAAATGATCATAAGAACAGGGTTCATGCCTGGTCTAAAGTAGTCTAAAGTTTGAAAACCTAAATTTTAGGCCTAAAAAAGTCTTAAAAACACCAACATTTTAACCCAAGGTCAATTATCATACTGTGTGTGTGTGTGTGTGTGTGTGTGTGTGTGTGTGTGTGTGTGTGTGTGTGTGTGTGTACCTCTCGTGCCACGTTGCTGGTTTTCACCTCCTGAATCACTGTTCCATATATGATGTAGTCGACAGCATCTTTGGGTAAAGCTGTCCTTTTCAGCAGATTCCTACACAAACACAGTTTGAGATAAAAAAGATAAGATTATAAATCCTGTATGAACGTCAGTCACAACGTTACACCAGTAAGAATCAATCAGACTCACTGAAGMGCTGCTCTGGCCAGGTCATGAGGCATTAAATCAGCATACCTATAAACAAAATCCACATTTTATCATCAAAATAATCCCATTAAAAAGTCTCATTGGACTTGTTTTATTTGTTTTATTGTTTAAATGAACGTTGTRTATTTAACATCAGATCCTCAGCTCCTATGAAAGCCCAGAGGGAACATCTTTCATCAGATAAATAACAGAACCCTACGTGGTTCCAGACATCAGGAACGGGGTTCGGACTCCTTCCACCAGAACTATGTTTTTCACACCAGGTCGAGCCAGCGTCTTCTTGCTTTTTGTCTGAACTGAGAAAAATTAAACACAAAAACAGGATTTTAACTCTCACAGAAATAAGTATCTATTTATCTGAACAACTAGAGGAGAAGTAGTTTTATTACGATTCTGTCTTCGATCAATACACTCAAACTAATACCAGTAACCATTACGACACTTTGGATCAAACCTCAGATGACCTGTGGGTCAGTGATTGGTTTAAGAAAAGACAACAAATATATTTTAATGGTTTAGTTATGATCAGTGGATGAAAGTTTGTCTCATATTTTAAACAGTCTAACATTCAGAAATAGACTTGTACTTTAATTTAAACGACCTTTAAGAGCATTTCCTTACCCTGAGCCTGAAGCTGTGTTGTGGTACTGAGAGCTCGTGGACCTGTCAGACAGCAGAACTTTCTGTTAAAAACACATCTTCTACCGTTACTAATCATTTMAAATCAATTAAATTAACCTGTGTTGTATTGATAACTGTCTGGTGTTAAAATGATCAAACAAGTAGAACAGCTTACCGATGCGTGCTGCCCAGGACGGGCTGAGCCCACAGGTCCGCAGCGTGTTCAGCAACATGGAGGCCATCTTTACAAGAGAAAAACTGTTACTGTGAAGTTTAAAAACACTTAAAATAAAACATTATCATGCAAAACATGTCTGATTTGAAGCTATTTTCCATGTTGTGACCAGTTCTTCTGATTTTAAAAGGAACTGAGTGAGTGAAGGTGGCAGACAGATATTTAGGTGTTAACAGCTGGAGCAACAACACTGATGCTTTGTGAAAGAAACCACTGTTTTGTCTCATTTTAACACTGAACGTTGGAAACAACTGTGAAATGTAGTTTTGATGGCAAAATGTTCAAAACTTTACACATCAATCTTAAATCATACAACAGTTAGTTGTTAATGTCAGGGCTTTAAAAATTTATTTCTTTAATTTAACATTACAGATCAGCTGTTTCCTTCTTCATATACTCTGAAATGTAACGTTAGCTGATTATTATTATTTTTATATAAACGGGATTTTACATTATTTAGCTCCAGTATTTAAAAAATGATGAGTATATTTAGCATTGATGTGTTCAGGTCACCCCTGCACAACCACCGGTGTTRCAGGGAGCCTGACCTTTCACCTACATTCATCTAAAGCTGAATAAAACAGTACAAATACGACATTTAACTAAGAAATAACCTACTAGTTATTTGTTTGTTTAGGCAGAACCGTAATGTCCTTAAAACAACACAACTAAAAACGTTTAAACACAAAACAATAAAGCTAAAGCTCGCATGCTAGCTTTAGCCGACTGTTAGCTACAGCTCTGTTAGCTCCCAGACTTGAGATGAAGAAATAATTTATTTTTATTTTTTATCAGAGTTTTAAAACTGACTTTTTTCTTAATGACATTAAAATCTGCCGTGCTGGTAACATCCCCCACCTTACCTGGATTTGTTTAATTTCCTCACCAACACTGCTTCAACACTGACACACTCTCCACGGGACTACAAACCGTAAAGGACCCACCCAGTGATATAGCTGTCTAACAATTTGCCTGTAAAGAAAACACTGAAACCCCACTACTATAACACACACAAAACATATTTCAATATTTATTATTACAAGTAACTATTTAATATACGGCTAAAATACCTTTTATCTAAAGATAAGAGGAGTATTTTAGAACACAAACACATTTTAATTTTAGGACGGCAGTTCAATAAAAAAGAGGAACTCTTGCGCCTCTGCTGGTCAAAATGTTTTATTATTGATTATATATTTATTATATATTTATATTATTATTTATTATAGTGTTGATCATTGAGGTAAACAGCAGTTTATTTTCACCCTCTTATGAACAAAATGTCTTTTTGACAGAATAAACAACAAACATATTTAAGTGTCTAATGTGTTGTCCTATTTTGTCACCATTGTGTGTTTATTTTCAGCCAACAGTGATTTTTAATGGATCAATATTKCTTTTCTACTAGAAAGATTTTATTGATTTTAATCCAATCAAGATGCATTTAAAATTCATTTTGTAAAGTTGCCATAAACTTGAGAATGTTGATTTTCTGGTATTAGTT